CAATAGATCCCAAAACAAGAAATGATGATTGCCTTTTTTTTTTGGTTGGTCATGGGGCTTGAATTCTGGGGTTGGGTGCTGACCCTGTGCTCTTCAGCTCAAGGCCAACAGTACCACTTGAGCCACAGTGCCACTTCCAGTTTTCTAGACTTTCCGGCCTGGTCTGGCTTTGAACTGTGATCCTTAGATCTCAGGGTCCTGAGTAGCTAGGATTACAGGTGTGAACCACTGGCGCCTGGTTTTGATGATTGCCTTTTAGACAGAAGGAAAAAAGATACTAGATGGAAAACTTACTCTAACTAAAAGGAAACCGCAATTCTACATAAAATATATACGTTTTGTTGCCATTATTTAGGTATTTTTAATGAAAAGTATGCTTTTTCATATTACATAAGTCATTTATAAAGATATGTAACAATTTAAACAAAATGACGTGTTACAGCATCTATAAAATATGTACATTAAGGGGGCTGGGAAGATGGCTCAGTGGTAGAGCGCATAAGCAAAAAGAAAAAAGCCGGAAGTGGTGCTGTGGCTCAAGTGGTAGAGCGCTAGCCTTGAGCTGAAGAGCTGAGGGACAGCGCCCAGGCCCAGAGTTCAGGCCCCATGACCGGACCCCCCCCCCCCCAAAAAAAAAAAGTACATTAAAAAAAAGTAAAGGCCAGGTACTGGTGGCTCACCACTGTAATACTATGTACCCACAAGGCTGAGATCTAAGGATCATGGCGGGAAGGCAGCCCTGGTAGGAAAGTGTGAGATTCTTAATTTCAATTAATTACCAGAAAACTGGAAGTGAAGCAGTGGCTCAAAGTTGTAGAGCATAAGCCTTGAGCAAAACAGCTCAGAGATGTGCTCAGGCTCTGAGTTCAAGCCTCACAACTGACCAAAAAATAATTGAATAAACAAATAAATAAACACAAGTATGTGTTGTGTGTCATTTGACAAATGAAAAAAAAAAATTTTTTTTTTTGGTCCTGGGGTCTGAACTCTGGGCCTGGGCGCTGTCCCTCAGCTCTTCAGCTCAAGGCGAGTGCTCTACCACTTGAGCCACAGTGCCACTTCCTAAATGAAAATTTTTTTTTTTTTTTTTTTTTTGGGTCCGGTCGTGGGGCCTGAACTCTGGGCCGGGGTGCTGTCCCTCAGCTCTTCATCTCAAGGCTAGCACTCTACCACTTGAGCCACAGCGCCACTTCCGACTTTTTTCTTATGTGGTGCTGAGGAATCGAACCCAGGGCCTCGAGCATGCAAGGCAAGTGCTCTACCACTGAGCCACCTTCCCAGCCCCTAAATGAAAATTTTTAAAATCGTACAGTTACATTTTATAAGACCTACTAGGACTGAAATAGAATCAAACCATTACTAGGTTACTTAATTTGAAGTCACATAGAATCATTTGAAGATCAACTGTGATGAATGAAGACATGTACTACAATGTCTAAAATAAAAACAAAAAAGAGATTGTCAACAAAAGAGATATTACTGAATTAACTGGAAAGAAATTAACAGAAAAGTGTTACTGAAAGCTGGGTGCTGGTAACGCCTGCCGACAACCCCAAACCATCTATGAGGCTGAGACCTGAGGATTGAACTTTAAAGTCAGCCTAGGCAGAAAAGTTCATGCGACTCTAACACCAATTAACCAGCAAATAAACAAAAAAAACAAACAACAAAAGAACCTGGACTTTGGGGCTGGGAAGGTGGCTCAATGGTAGAGTGCTTGCCTTGCATACATGAGGCCTTGGGTTCGATTCCTCAGCACCACATGAACAGAAAAAAGCTGGAAGTGGAGCTGTGGCTCAAGTGATAGAGCACCATCCTTGAGTGAAAAAGCTAAGAAACAGTGCCCAGGCCTTGAGTTCAAGCCCCAGTACTGGTACACACACACACACACACACACACACACACAAACAGATTCTGAACTAGAGAGGTGGCTCAAGTTGTAGAGTCTCTGCCATGAAAAAATTGAGTTCTCAAGCCTCAATATTGGCACACACAAAAAAGGACATTATGAGCCCATAGGGAGAAAAGGAGAGGAGAGACAGATTGGAAGGGAGAAAGAGAGACAGACAGACAGACAGACAGAGACAGAGACAAACAAACAGAAAGGATTAAATAATAAACAAAATAAATACAAAGAGGATGCACTTAATCTTACCAATTTCACTGATACATTAAATATGAGTGTATAAATATTCAAATTAAAAGGTAGGCATTACCATGGTAGGCCAACTATTTGATCTAAATATATGGTGTGTATAATAAATGTACTTTGAAGACATAAATAAGTTAGAATTGAAAAGGAGGAATAAAGATTCCATGCTATCAATAATCAAAAGGGATCAGTATATATTATTTCAAGACACATTGGATCTCAGGGTAAAGTATACTCCTAGGGACAAACATTTCATGCTAATAAATGGTCAAAAATTTAATTCTAAACTTTAAATATTTGTTGAATGGTCACCAAAAATAGAAAACACCTTAGACATCCAAAATGAGTCTTTTCTTCCAAGAACAAGTCAGGCTCTGAGCAAAATACAGATTTGCCTGGCAATGTAAGAGATGATTCTTTTTATAGAAGCACTGAAACAGATGAAAGCTAACAACTACTATCAGAGATATCAACTGGAATCCATTTGAATATTTCTTTTGGCCAAACATACCACACAATTCCAAAAAAAAAAAAAATTCCATGTTTCTTTTGAATTTAACCAGAGTTGATCATTTATGATTCATACAAATTTGCACTTTGGCAGGAATAGTTAAAATAAAAATTCCATTCATCAAATTTAGCTAGATGTGTTGTAGTATATATTTGTTTACAAGTTGCGTCTATTCTTCTATAAAACTTCCATTTACACAGAGATGAATTATACTGTATAATTTTTACATTGTACCCTCGTTAAATCATTGTAAGTTGTTTGCAATTTGGCATGTAATTCAGGATTCAACTACTATCTACTGAAATACAGAGAACTGTAATTGTCAAATTAAAAATAGTTTTGAATCCAAATGTATGGTCATTATCTATCATAGTTAATTTAAATTATATAGTATAAATCTTGCCAATGTTCAACCACGTGCTTATTCAAAAATCTGACATTTCAAACTATGATGGTTTAAAATACTACATATATTTCACTTGAAATATCACACTCCAATGCAGAATAGTGATTCTCAGGAGGCTGAAGCAACAGGATCATCTATTTAACACCAGACACAACTACACAGTTTAAGGCCAGTCTGAGTACAAAAGAAGACAAGCAAACTAAGTAACAATGTGAAGAATTACTATAAAAGCATATTACGAGACTGTAACTAAATTAAACTATTTTAAGAAAAAATATAAAATACAAGTAAGAAAGGGGGAACAAATCTTCAATTCTTGAAAAAAAAATTTTAGCTATTGACAGAGGGAGCATGACTTTTCATTACATAATCTTTTCAATGTAGGCATTTATTGGATGTTATGAAGGGGTAGAATCTGTGACACAGCAGAATCAAGAATAATATTTAAAGTCTACAGCAGTGCATGTAGACATGTTTATAGGAGACATTGTTTTCAATAAACACATTAATATTGGATAATTACTACATGTCTTACCAGCTGTTTCATACAACTCACGTAAAGGAATGACAGCAGCTGTTATACCAAAACTATATATTATATGCAATGTTTTTAGTTTTTGTTAGAATCCACTGATATGTGAGTGATCATGGGGTGATTAGTTTAGGATAATATTTGGCATAGTTCTATTTTTGAAATAAACTTTTGTTTTTGTTTTTTAGGTCTGGTTGTGGGGCCTGAACTCTGGGCCTAGGCGCTGTCCCTCAGCTCTTCAGCTCAAGGCTAGTGCTCTACCACGTGAACCACAGCACCACTTCCAGCTTTTTTTTTTTCTGCTTATGTGGTGCTGAGGAATCGAACCCAGGGCCTCATGCACGCAAGGCAAGCACTCTACCACTGAGCCACCTTCCCAGCCCTGAAATAAATTTTTAAACAATTTCTTTTTTTGGTCATGGGGCCTGAACTCTGGGCACTGTCCCTCAGCTCTTCAGTTCAAGGCTAGCACTCTACCACTTGATCCATAGCACCACTTCCGGCCTTTTCTGCTTATGTGGTACTGAGGAATCGAACCCAGGGCCTCATGCATGCAAGGCATCACTCTACCACTGAGCCACATTCCCAGCCCCAACAATTATTTTCATGTCAATTCAAATTACATGCTGCCCTTATGCCTAGATTAAAAAATTTTGTCATGACCAATGCTTTTGAAATATTAAATTAAAAGGTGTCATGATTAATTACTATGGAATAAATAGCAATTAAGATTTTTTTTTAGGCAAATGAGCTCAAACTGTTGTAGTGATTATATTCCTAATATTTTACTACACAATTCTCACATTATTAATAAGTTACCTAAAAGTCTAAAATGTAAGTTTCTAAAATTACCTCAAAAAATATTAGGAAACTGATTTAATAGTTCAAGATTCTGTGCATGTTAGACAAGTATCTCTCTATGTAATGTATGAAAAAGGGTAGACTTGATGGTAAGCAGCACAAATTATGCACTAAAGACAAATATTAGCCAGTGCCAGTGGCTCATGCCTGTAATCTTAGCTGCTCAGGAGGCTGAGATCTGAGGATCACGGTTCAAAGCCAGCCTGGGCAGTAAAGTTCCTAAGACTCTAATCTCCCATAAACCACCAGAAAACCGGAAGTGGCGCTGTGGCTCAAGTGGTAGAGCACTTTATTTGCCTTGAGATAAAGAGCTATGGGACAGGGCCCAGGCCAAGAATTCAAGCCCCAGGACCAAAAAAAAAAAGGACAAAGATTCTATTTCTGTTTGGTACTTGTAATAGTGAACCAACCTATGTTTTGAGATAGGTAAACAACTGGTGGTACTGATAAAGGCAATTGTTTTAAAATGTTTATCAGCCAACAATCATGTTATTTCATATAAATATGGCCTCAACAAGCAAATAAAATAAATACTTACAGCTATATAGTAAACTCTTGCTTTTTCTACCAACATCCAGTTTTTTTCCAGGTCAAGATGTTTTTCCTTTTTGTAACAATTGGCAGCAGCAAGATTAGCTATAAGCGACCTAAACCAGCCAAAAAAAAGTAAAGAGTTTACTTATGTCATAGTTAATTCAGTCAGATATTTCTGTACAGTTAATTATTTTTGTAATTATAGTTATTTCTTAAATCTTCAAAGCTGACAGATTTTTGAATAAATACAAATAAAATCAATTTTGTTCTGAAAACTTTCAGAGATTTCTATACTTGTCCCTGAGACAAAATGACACAAGATAAACCTTCTAAACATCAACAAGTTAATTAAGAAACTGGCATCTAACTTTCCTAAGGCCTACTTTTTCATTAAATTCATAGTTCAAAATGGAATTAAAAAATAAAGCTACTAAATCATCCTGCAAAAGAAAATAGTATGTAACCAAAACTAAATTTTTATGTCAGAAAACTAGTTTCATAAAAATAAGATCAACAGACCATAAATGACTATTTAAGATTAATGCTTTAAAAGCCAAGTATGGGATTGATTTCATAAAACACATATAAATGTAGACCATATTTACTATGAGGAATAAATTTGCAAACTATTACATTTTAGGAACTGGAATCAATTAGAATTAGATTCTAGAGGAGAAAACTCTGTAGGCTGGAGCCAGTTTTACAGCTAGAAAAGCTAAGCAGTATGTGGCATTAAAACTCTTGCTATAAATGCCACCAAGATAGCGTCATTATAATCCAACAATTAAAATTAGTAAAATAAAGAAATTAGTTTTTTTCCTCATTTACACATGGAATTAATAAAAATATTTTATTATTATTCTATTAATAAACTTATTTACTAATAAAATTATTTTACTTTAAAAATTAAATAGTAACAATATATGTTATCAAAAAAACTATCACATGAAACTTTGGTAATTTTCACTTACTTTCTTTAAGAGAAAGAAAAAAAAATTTTCCTCTAAAACATATTTTTCACTCATCCATATGACAATTTAGTATTTCACAATACCTATGTGTATGCTCAATTAACTGAAGGAGAAACATGCATCATCATATACATATGCAAAAATATATTATAAACTTATAAACTAATTAAAAACTGCATTATAAACTTAGTTAAAATGAATTCTTTTTTGATTGGTAGATGAGATTTAATTTACAAAAATATTCTGGTAGGGACTGGGAAGGTGGCTCAGTGGTAGAGCGCTTGCCTTATATGCATGAGGCCCTGGATGTGATTCCTCAGCACCACATTAGCAGAAAAAAAAAAAGCCAGAAGTGGCGCTGTGGCTCAAGTGGTAGAGCGCTAGCCTTGAGCTGAAGAGCTGAGGGACAGCGCCCAGGCCCAGAGTTCAGGCTCAACGACGGGACCCCAAAAAAACAAACAAACAAACAAACAAACAAAAACAAAAGTATTCTGGTAATCTTGACTTTAAGAATATTTTGAGGAAGTGGCACTGTGGCTCAAGTGGTAGAGAACTGAGCTGAAGAGCACCTAGACAGCACCAAGGCCCAGAGTTCAAATCCCACAACCGCCAAAAAAATAAAAATAAAGAAATTATTGCCGGGCACCAGTAGCTAACGCCTGTAATCCTAGCTACTCAGGAGGCTGAGATATGAGAATCACGGTTCAAAGCCAGCCCAAGCAAGAAAGTCCGTGAGACTTTTTTTTTAATTTTATTTTTTTTTAATTGTGAAAATACTGTACAGAGGGGTTACAATTACATGGGCAAGATAATGAGTACATTTCCCATCAAGCATTGTAGCCTCCTCCTTTGTTTCCCCTTCCCATCCCTTCCCATTCTCCCCTGCCCCCCCATCCTCCCCGCCCCCCCCCCCTCCCCCATGAAACTTATCTCTAATTAACCACCAGAAACCCCAGAAGTGGTGCTATGGCTCTAGTGGCAGAGTGCTCGCCTTGAGCTGAAGAGCTTAGGGACAGTGCCCAGGCCCAGAGTTTAAGCCCCAGGACCCCTCCACTCCCAAATATTTTGACACTGCTGGACACTGGTGGCTTACACTTATAACCCTAGCTACTTAGGAAGAAGAGATCTTGAGGACTGCAGTTCAAAGGCAGCCCCGGAAGAAAGTCCGTGAGACTCTTATCTCCAATTAAATCACAGAAAAAGCCAGAATCAGGGATACCATCTAGGCCTAGAGTTCTAGCCTTAGGATCAGCAATAAATAAATAAATAAATAAATAAATTTGACAAAAGTAGCTGCTAAATAAAAGCAAACACTTCTGTTATCAGCTCCTAAACTGCAATAACGAAACCACTTTTTCAATTCTGTTATGTTCCAGAATTTGGATGAGTTGGATACTGTTCTTTCTTCCCAGTTTCGGCCATTTCATGCAATCTGAACACCATAACCACAAAATTGTTATATCTTTTAAGGTTTTGACATTTGGAGAACTAATACTATCATATCTACTTATTAAAATAGCAATTGAACATATGAGATAGTTGAGCCCTGTTATGTCTGCGTAAAGGCGCTGGGAAGGTGGCTCAGTGGTAGAGTGCTTGCCTTGCATGCATGAGGCCCTGGGTTCGATCCCTCAGCACCACATAAGCAGAAAAAGCTGGAAGTGGCGTAGCCCTAGTGGTAGAGAGCTAGCCTTGAGCTGAAGAGCTAAGGGACAGCACCCAGGTCTCAGGCCCCACAACTGGACAAAAAACAAAAACAAAAACACACTGGGATGCTATCTACTAGCTGAGGGTGCTGGTTTATTGTTTTGATTTGGAAATGTGAGGTTTAATAACCTAGAGGCCTATTACTTCTTTCCATTGTTTTCCTCCTGTCTCTTTTCCTAAGCATCTTTTCCTTTCACTTGTTCCTGAGAACAGCAGCATATATTCATAAACTATAGAATAACCTTGGTGACTCAGTTTCACTGTAGTGTGATTTCATTCTGCTATTGTGAACAACTTAAAGACTTTTATAATTCTTGGTTAATTCATTCATGTTTTGAGATTAGATCTCAAAAGCCCACCTCTAAGAATCAATCTTTCTTTCTTTCCTTTCCTTCTTTCCTTCCTTCCTTCCTTCCTTCCTTCCTTCCTTCCTTCCTTCCTTCCTTCCTTCCTTCCTTCTTTTCTGGTCCTGAGCTTTGAACCCTTGGGACTTGGCACTGTTCCTGAGTTTCTTTTTGCTCAAGGCTAGCACTTTACCACTGGAGCCGCAGAACTATTTCTGGCTTTTTCTGTTTATGTGGTACTGAGAAATTGAACACAGTGCTTGGCAAGCACTCTACTACTAAGGCCTGAATTTTTATTTCTTAAGCATAATTACAAAAGGTAAAGACTAGAGTGAATAATCTCAAACTTTCATTCCGTTACGCTTCATGAATTCAACAGCAGGTTGATACGTTAAATATGAAACTTAAATTCCAAATTCTGATTTGGAATTCAGATTTCATCAGCCAATTAGTATAGTGCTTTCCTGGTTTACCCTTACCTGTTGTCACCAGTGATACAGGCAGCACAAGTTCCTGTCGGCTGCTCATTCTGCTCATAGTAATGAGCATCCACATGGGCTTCAGCAGCTTTACTCTTCAGGATCTCCCCAAATTTATCTATCCCAATGCATCCAAAAAAGGTTGCTGCTTTGTGTGGCTGCTGAATCATCCACTGAAAAACAGGGACATAAATAATTTAATGGGTCAGAAAAATGGGACACATAGTTCAGTATTCTGCCATGAATAATGGCATGACAGGGATGCTTTTCAGAAACTGTTAATGGAATTTCAATTCTGTACTATCACTTAGGATAATCAAGTTGATGCTAGCCATGCAAAATCTTAAAATATGACTTCAAAGAAGAGAAATGAAATAAAGTGGTTAAGAATGGAAAGGATAAGTTCCTAAATCCAATGTTGGATAGAAACAGGAAAATAAGAGGGAGTGCCAATAGAAGTAATTACAGCAATTTCATTAAAAGCATAGACTCTATATTGAAGATTGACTGGGTTCCAATCTTGCCTCCAGTACTTATGAACTAGGTCACTAAAAGTTTTTAGGCCTCAGTTTTCTCATTTGCAAAGAGGGGATATATCATAAAAACATTTCATAAGGGTCTTGAAGATTCATTGAGATAATTAAGGCTGAGTATCGCAAAGAACAGTAAGTACATAGTAAGTAAGACAAATTAACTGTGGTTGTCTCAATTATTGTACACCTTGAAAGACTTTATATATAAATTTAAATATAAAAGTGCATAAGTTATGCTAAAATAAGTTCAGCTAAGTACTAGTATTAATTGGAAGTTATTGCTGTAAAACACAAATTAATTTACATAAATAAGTTAAAATATGGAAGTTTAAAAACAGAATAAATTAAAAGGAAGCATAAGAAACCCACTGATTACATATACCTGATCCCTTCATTAGTACGAATTTCATTTACTTAATTTTTTTGCTATAATAATGAATTTAAGATGCACATTTTTCACTGATTTGAACTCTTTCATAATTAGTTCAAATGTCCAATGGCTCTCATGTTTTGTTAGTGATTCTAAAAACCATCTATTTCTGTTTTAAATATAATTGCAAAATATTCTTCATACAAAGTCAATAACAAAGACTTTATGAAGTCTACATTCAAATATTTGGAGTGTAAAATAATTATTTGTCTATGTGAGGTTAGGAAAGAATAAAAAAGCCAGAGAAAGCTGTAGGACGAAGACACTGTAATTGTCTGATGATCAGCAGCCACACTTCTAGACATCTACCTTAAAGACACACATCCACATATATAAAATAATACAAGCTTAAGTATTCGTTGAGATGCTAATGTATAATGGCAAAAGGTTGCATACAACCTCAAAGTCTATCCATATTTCCAATTGAAAGTAAACATATAATGAGAGGTTAAGAATCTGTAAGAAACAATAAACAAATAATCTGATTCAAAAGTGAACAAAGGATTTGAACATAAATAAAGTTCTCCAAAAGATGATCTACAAATGGCCAAAATATACCTGAAAAGATGTTTAACATCATTAGCATGTGAAGAATGTAAGTGAAAATTAAAATCCACCATTACACACTGATAATGATGGCCACTCTGACGAATACAAAATTAGGAGTGGTAGGGGTATTAGTTGTTATGTGCTGTAGCAACTATATAAAACATTATGAAAACTTTTTTCTTTTTTTTTCCGGTCATGGGGCTTGAACTCTGGGACTGGGTGCTTGCTGTCCCTCAGCTCTTCAGCTCAAGGTTAGTGCTCTACCACTTGAGCCACAGCATCACTTCTGGCTTTTTCTGCTTATGTGGTGCTGAGGAATTGAACCCAGGGCCTCATGCATGTGAGGCAAGCACTCTACCACTGAGCCACCTTCCCAGCCCGACATTTTTTTTTTTTTGGTCCGGTCATGGGGCCTGAACTCTGGGCCTGGGCACTGTCCCTCAGGTCTTCAGCCCAAGGCTAGCACTCTACCACTTGAGCCACAATGCCACTTCCGGCTTTTTTTTCTGCTTATGTGGTGCTGAGGAATTGAACCCAGGGCCTCATGCATGTGAGGCAAGCACTCTACCACTGAGCCACCTTCCTGGCCCCATGAAAATTCTTAAAACATCAAAAACAAATTAATATATGATCACACTATTCTACTTAAGGGATGTGTAGCCAAAGGAATGCAAAGAAAGATCTAAAAAAAAAAAAAGCCATGTTTATTCCAATATTTTTCAGAATAACGAATAGAAACAGATGAATAGTTTGCTACTGGTTTTCTTTTTTTTTTCCCATCATGGGGCCTGAACTCTGGGGCCTGGGTGCTGTCCCTCAGCTCTTCAGCTCAAGGCTAGTACTCTACCATTTGAGCCACAGAGCCACTTCTGGCTTTTTTCTTTTTGCTTATGTGGTGCTGAGGATGAGGAATCGAACCCAGGGCCTCAGGCATGCAAGGCAAGCGCTCTACCACTGAGCCACCTTCCCAGCCCGAAACAGACGAATAGTAAAGAAAATGTGATGGGGGTGGGAGGAGGGGGAGATGGGAAGGGATGGTAAGGGAAAACAAAGGAGGAGGCAACAATGCTTGATAAGAAATGTACTCAATACCTTGCCCATGTAATTGTAACCCCTCTGTATGGTATTTTCACAATTAAAAAAATGCAAATAAAAAAATGTGATACATACAATGGAATATTATGCAGCTTTAGAAAAAAAGAATCCTGCCCCTTGTAATAACAGGAATGAACTTTAACAACATTACAGTAAGTAAAACAAGGTCAGTAGTAAAAGGACACACTTTATAAACAGAAAAAAGAAAGGTGACTGTCAACAACTAGTAGATAATGTATCTAGGGAACAGAATTTCCAAATGAAAATGTTCTACAGATCTGCTGTTGTACAACAATGTGAATAAACATCATACCATGTGCATTCTTAAGTACCTAAAATAATTATTTATTCCAGAAAAAACAATGTGTAAGTTTTGCTATTTTTAAATCATTTTTGGGGAATAGTGTTTCACAAAGTGGTCCAAGCTGGCCTGGAACTCCCAATCCTCCCACTACAGCTTCCAATGTTACAGGATTATGGGACTATTCCACTATGTCCATTTGTAAGGTTTTTTTTTCCCCCTTCTTTTTGTGTTTTGTTTTTGTCGGGCGTGGGGCTTGAACTCTGGGCTTGGGTGCTGTCCCTGCGCTCTTCAGCTCAAGGGGAACGCTCTACTGCTTGAGCCATAGCACCACTTCTGGTTTTCTAGTGGTTTACTGGAGATAAGTCTCACGGACTTTCCTACCTGGCTGGCTTTGAACTGTGATCCTCAGATCTCAGCCTCCTGAGTAGCTAGGATTATAGGCGTGAGCCACCAGCGCCTGGCCCATTTATAAGTTTTAAAGAGATCATACATGGTTTTACCCCCTGGCCTGGCTCTTTCCCACTCATCCCCAAAAATATATGAATTATTCCTTTCTCTATGATATCCATACTGTACACTTAAATGGCAATTAGTCATTTAATAGTCAACTTGGTTATCAAATTGTCCATTTTGGTATATCAGTGTTTGTATCCAGGTCATAGTAATTTTGAGGGCAAGAGAGTGATACTGGCAATTGCTTATAGCTATTCAGTTTTATTATTAGTTAATATTGCCCATCACTTGCTGTAGTGAATTTATAAATTAAATATTATCATGTGTATGTATCTATCAGAAAAAGTACATATAGTGTTTCAGTGACTGGTGAAGAAAGGAGTAAATGGGGAGAAAATGATAGAAGGCATGATTCTGATCAATATGCACTATAAACAAATGGATAAACTTCTTATATAACCATCTACAGATAAAAATAAATTAAATTTTTTAAAAAATGATTTCAAACATCTACTGAGTTTTAGAATATAGCCTTTACAGATAAGGGAGAATATTAATGTAGTAAAAATCAAAACAAGACCAAACGACTTATACTATGACTTGATTATTTAAACAATATAATATACCATTAATCTGTTCTGCCAAAGTGAAATCATAATAATATAATTCTACAGTTAGTCTACAGTGAAGGATTTAAATGAATTGAAATGTCTCAATTACAATAAACTCAAAAATTTTGGCTATTTTTTTTGGGGGGGGGTCCGGTCATAGGGCCTGAACTCTGGGCCTTGGCACTGTCCTTCAACTCTTCAACTCAAGGCTAGCACTGTACCACTTGGGCCACAGAGCCACTTCCAGCTTTTTCTGCTGATGTGGTGCTGAGGAATCGAACCCAGGGCCCTTTGCATGCAAGGCAAGCACTCTACCACTGAACCACCTTCCCAGCCCCAAGTTTGGCTATTTTTTACATGAGGACATCAACATGGTATGGACTTCACTTTTGATCATTTCCATTGAAAAGTCAATCTAAAGTCTAAGTTCAATAAGTAAAAAAATTAATTTCTATTAGAGACATAAAATACTTCAAAACACTTAATCTAGATGAGTAAAGATGATTTAGAATTCCAAAGATACAGAAATTAGTTAAGATTTCTAAGATTTGTAAGTTGTAAATCTTCAACCTTATCTCAAACACAATGATTACTGCCATCCAACCAAACTCTTTTCTACCATTTGGCATTCAATAAGCATTTAATGTATAACCACTAAGGGATAAAAAGATAAAAATGTGAGTCCAGCCTGGTGGCTCACATCTATAATCCTAGCTGCTCAGGAGACTGAGATCTGAGGATCACAGAGGTTCAAAGCCAGCACCAGCATGAAAGTCTGGTGTTCCAATTAACCACCAGAAAACTGGACATGGTGCTGTGGCTCAAAGCAGTAAAACACTAGCTTTGAGCAAAAACAGTACTTTGAGCTCAGACACAGCACCAGTGCCCTCAGCTGAAGCCCCAAGAACACCACAACCAACAACAAAAATATTAAAATGTAATTTTAATTGGTCACCACCACTACATTTTCAGATTCTCCAGATAACTTCAATTATGTTACAATAACCTGACTAGCTTTTCTTAAAACTAGCTTTTCTTAAAACTGCTTTCACTTCTAGACTTACTCTGTTGTTAATCATGGTACAGACTTACCTACCCATCTGCTATAAACCACTAGAAAACAAAATCCAAAGGAGACAACCAGAGTTTTCAGGCATGGCCAGCCTGTGATCTCTGCTATGAAGGAAAAAAGTGAGCC